ACCCCCCCCCCCTCCCCACCTCGATCCCTGCCCCGCCTCCTCCGAGTGTTTAGACGAGGCTATGTAAACACAGAAAACGTCCTAGATTGCTTTTATAAAATTTTTCTCCTGACAACCGTGTTTACAAACTCTCATCTAGACACACAAATTGACTAATAAGCGTGCGCGTACTATGTGAAGTATTTTATAAAAGGAATTAGAGCGGATTTCAATCGAGTGTCGTAAAATCAAAACCAAAGTAATCACTCTATCCGATCATAAAGGACACAGGCAATACAATGAACCAATGAAAACCCGATGTAAATGCATGTACATGACGTAAAACGCGGAAAAACATTTTGGGCCAATCACGATTGATCTCGGTTTTACTTCTGATTGTATGAGAAGGTGGCGTGCGTCCTATTAAGCCAATCCTGTAGCGTAATGCTGCGTAATGAAAGTCTTATTACTTTTTCGACATTCGAGTGAAAACTACTCGATCAGAACAATACAACGAATAAGCTATGTCCGAGTTGCTTTTTACCTCTTTTTCAAAGCGAGTCCTGGTGTACAACCTTTCATATGGAAATGAGTTTTATTTGCAAGACAATGAAGACGCTAGAAAAACTCACTTCAATATGAAAGGTTGTGCACCAAGACTCGTTTTGAAACAGAGGTAAGAGTAACTTGGAAATGGCTTATTGCAATAGACCAGTTGCGATATATTAAAATTCAGCCTAACACAATGGAACTCAACACGAGGCTCTGGGGAATAAATTCCACAAACTCTGTAGTTATTCCTCGTACTGAGGTCTACTGTTTTAGGCTGAATTTTAATATATCAAAATTAGGCCATTTCAAAGCTTAGGATCATCCCGTATGTGGAGCATTTTGAGACTCTTGACGATCTTGCTGTGTCATTTTGTAGTGTTCGTACGGCAGAATGGTGTTTGCCGTTGGTCCATCTCAACGATGCCTTGGCCTTGGTGATACAGCTGGCTCAAGATTACGCATCTAAGCAGCGGCAGTATTCGTTACTACCTATTTATGTGAGACTTGTGAAAACGGACGATCTGTTCATGAGCCCTGCGAGCAAGTTCAGACCAGATGGATCTACAAGCGAAGAAAACTGCTACATTGAGGTGAGAGAAATAATTAGCTTTGTGCACTCTGGGTCGAACTCCAGGGGGGAACTCCCGAATAAAAAGAACGGGGGTGCTCACCATACCTTTCAGGGGCTGAAAAAGCGGTTTTCGTACCTCTTAAAGCTGTTCACCCTAGCCTCAAAAGGTCCACGGCGAAGGCCGTCGCGGTACCTTTTAGGGTATCGAACCGAAAAAATGATGACAGGAGATAATGTGTTGTTTTAGAATTAGTACCTCTTAGAGATTTCAAGCCAAAAAAATTTCAAGCCGCGCTCGCAAAACAGGATCTTGGTACCTCCTAGGGGTTCTTGTCAAAATTTTCGACGAGCACCCCCGTCCGTTATATACGGGAGTCTCCATCGGGGGCAAACTAACGTTTACAGGACAAAATTAAATTTGCCACAATGGCTTACAAATAGTCAGGAAGGTTGCACGAGAAAATATAACGCTATTTATTATGCTCATCATGTATTTTCGTTTGGACAAAAATATGCCACGTGAAAACTTTCAAAACATGGTTACTCCGTAAGGAAAGTAAAACCACATTACCCACAAGAATTGGGCCCCGCTTCACACTAATGCGTTTTCGATATGACGCTATTTCGATGATGCGTCCAGGATTAAAAGGTTCGCGTCGAGACTACTGTTATGTCAGCGTTTTCCCCGTCCACAAAAATCGCTGGGAACGTGGCTCGGTTTCCAAATGTCCACTCTGGATAGCGCTATAAATAACTGCGTTTTTAAATGTAAACGTTGAACATTTCCGATTGTTTGAGTGTGGACGTTAGGCAAAATAGTCCAGTTTTGGCTAGCCCTTGAGCAGGTTCTCGTGTGTTGCGGCAGAAGCAAAGTCGATGAGCAAAGTCGCCAGAAATGCTTCAGCGAGCAAAGCGAGCTGGTGGGGGGCCTGGCACGACTCTCGCTTTGTTCGCCGACGGCTTTGCTCGTGCCATTAACGATGAGAGCCTGCTCGCAGGCTAAGTTTTGGACTTCTCTTTGTCACACAACGCTACGCAAAAAAACGCTTAGAAAAGTATGCATTATCAAACAAATACGCAGTGGAATGGGGCAGTTAGATTCGCATCCGCTCAGGTGCATATCTTTCTGCGCTTCAACTTCTCGTCGACTGGCATGGTACTACTAAATAAACTACTTTGGAAATTAGACTTCGGTAATCAGATGTAAAACCCAAGAAATGAACTCCTGAAAACTCACATTTGTTGGTCACAAAGAAAACCCTCAGTTTTGTTGCCCTTCGATATTTTCCCTTGTCGGGTGGGGCCAATTATTACTAAATCGATTTATTTTCCCCAGGTACCATTCCTCCCCGGAGCTTTTGGCATTGACGAGTTTCAAGAGGTGGTGGAAGACGCTCTCTACACAAAGTTCAAGGCGAGGCCACACTGGGGAAAGAACAACCGGCTTAACGACAGGAAGATCCACGACTGCTACGACAATGACAAGCTGAAAAAGTGGAAACAAGTGTTCCAGCTGTTCAACAAAGGAGGGCCGTTTAACAACCGTTTTACTCACAACATGGGGTTTGACTCGTTTCTGATCGACCAACAACCTACACGCCTGGGAACACAACTTACGGCGGGCACCGCCACCTCCTGCGAGTGAGGAGGGGAGGGGAAGGGGAGGTTGAAGGCATTATATCCGAGATTTCTCGCCCGCTAATGACAGTAGTGTTGTAGAGTGAGTAGCAAACACGATAAATGAAGGTGTTAAAGGGTTTATGCGTGACACGCGATGAGTGCAAATAATT